ATATTCCATACTATTGAAGAGTCTCCATATGTAAGTTTTATGTAAACCCAATGATATCCACTGCAAAACATGAGTGGCATCAACAATGTTGTCCCAGCCAGGATTAATAAAGTATTCATCTATATATTTATCTGTTTGCAAGTTATTTTTATGGCTATTTTTCTGAATTGTAATGGGTTTTACTTTACTGTAATGTCTGTTAGTATGTGGTGTTTAACCTGTTACAACTCACTGTTCCTCTTTATAAAATTCCAGATGCTGTAGTTTTTTTAGATCTATTTTCACATGTTAATGAACCACTTCAAATATGTAAAAAACTTCAAAAGTAGCTCATTTAGGCTATTTAAATTATGTGTTTAGCTTACAGTGAGGTTAGCCATCTTGGAATAATGTGTAAATACTCCCAAATCCTGTTCTTCGCAATCTGCCGACGTCGCATGAATGCAGACGTGATTTCTTCTGTCCTCTCTGAGGGAAAATGAATACGCATATTTCTCAAAAAAAAAGTTGTTGTTTGAGGGTTCCTTTTCCTAATAAAGATACAAGTTGAATCTTCAGAAGAGTTTCTGTTTTTAAATCAAACCTTTTTAGATACACATTAAACAGTTGCGTTATGAGGCATTTATTCAGCCAAAATCTCAAGTAAAGTTTCTGTAGTTGAAGTTGAAACAGTTGCCTCTGCCGTTTTTGGTAAATTTCTTTGTGTAATTAATCTTCTTAAATGAGTTTCTCAGAAGCCCTTATAGACCATTTGCGGCAATTCCCCCATAGTTTGAAGTTTTCCCACACTCTTTCTGCACGACGAAGCGATTGGGATTGCAGATAATCACTGTTGTGGAATTCTACCACACTGGTGTGTGTGTGTGTGTGTGTGTGTGTGTGTGTGTGTGTGTGTGTGACTATCTTTGTGTGTATCAAGAGAAAGAACAAATGAAGGAGGAAAGATAGAGAGAATCAAAGAGAAAGGGAGACAGATGTGAACATGCCCAGACATCTCAGTTCTCCTCCAGACCACGAGGAGTTTGTTTTGGTCAGATTAGAAAACATCTTTATATCCTTTTCAACCCTATTTTTGTTCTCAGAAACTCTGAACTGTATTATTTGGTTTGGTGGTGAGTGCTGCTTTCAAGTGAGATCAAGTTTAAAAGACAAAAAAACTGTGTTTTCTCCAGCATGTGTTTCTTCCATTTCTTCTAATTTTTAGCAGGTTTTACATCATGTCATCCATTCAGTTCCTCCCCACTGAGAACAATTCATTTACCAGAAGCCCAGTCATCCCAAAGCGCTCAGGCTTCAAATTATACAAGAACAACCAAACAATATATCAACAAAAAAAAAAACTCCAATCAGAGTCAGAAAATATAGTCTGGGATTAATCTGAATACAAAAACTAAACCACAGTGCAAACCAAAGACGAAGACAGGAAGTAACAAATACCCTTAAACGGGACTGTCAAAGCTTTACTGACTGCTTGGACTTTTTTTTTCTATGGTGGAAGAAGTACTCGGATCTTTAACTTTAAAAGTAAAAGTAACAATACCACAGTTTAGAAATACTCTAAGTTAAAAGTCCTGCATTCGGTGTTTAACTTGAGTAAGTACAAAAAGTAAACGTACTCATGATGCATAATGGCCCATTTCAGAATAATGTATAGTTTATTATAGAATTATAATTATTCATTAATATGTACATTAATTCAATGTTGCAGCTGGTAAAGCTGGAACGTATTATTTTTGACTATATATACTGCAGGAAGCTTGTGAATTTCAGTAAGGGATCAATAAAGTTTTATCTTTATCTATAAGAATATCCTAATTTATTTGTTGATTAAATTTTGTATTATTAATCTCAATCTGCAAAGTAGCTATTAACTAAGAGTATTAAATAAATGGAGTAAAAATTACAATATTACCCTCTGAATTGTGGAGTATAAGTGGAAAGTAGCAGAAAATACCTCAAATACAATGACCGGTGCATTTTTGGAGTATTTCATGAAGTCAGCACATTTATTAAAGTCATTATATGTAGAAAATGTATGTTGCTATAGCATCTTTCAAGTTTTTTTGTTTGTAGAAGAATAAACAATCATGGTGAAACAAGGTGCAGCATGATGCCTGATTCTGCCACCTGGTGGCGCCAAAGTGAAGCATTTTCACATCTTTGATCAAATTGAAAACGTTTACAGTTTTTCTCAATTGTTTACACACAAATACTGGCACAATGACCACAACATGTAACTCATGCACCAGCCCCCTGAACCAATTCTGCTAAACTACAATCACAATTCCTGCTTTACACTCAAATTGCAGTTCTAAAACATACTTTTTTCAAAACACTACACACAATTCACTGCATTTGGCACAATTTTCATGAACAAAATCTCACAAGGAACACACTGCCATTCAAATATGCACACCGACTCATCACATGGGCAAACGCCCGTCACACAGTTTTATAATTAGCAATCAGAGCATTAGCAGAAAAGGGGCAAGCCCTTCTGTTTTGGAAACATTGGAAACATTGGAAACAGAGGCAGAGCCAGAAGTGGACGAGGATGAGGACCATCATCTCTGATGAGATCCGAGCCACCTTGGTTGACCATGTCTAACAATGAGGGAGGCTGGGCAAAGTACAGTCAAATTTGAGCAGGTACACTAGCATCCATCATCCGGACTTTCCGAAATGAGAATAGGTAAGAAATCTACTCTCACTAGAAAAGTGTAGTACTGCATATCAATACCGTACTCAATGAGTAAAAGTCTTCAGTCTCCTGAACCCTGAACAGGAAACTGCAGTCATGAACATGGTCCTAGAAAATAACGGCTTAACATTACTGCAAATACAGAAAATAATGAGCTATTTCAGAATATGGATAGGGTAAGCTTATCTAAAACACCCTGTCTTTTGCAGAAAAAATCTGAGGTTGAAGCAGGTCTACAGGTTGCCATTTGAATGCAATTCAGAAAAAGTCAAAGAATTGCGCCATAACTATGTGCAAGTGAGTCCTATACAATCCCACAATTGATGCATACTCAACACTGTATAAATTATACATATATCAGTATTGTAATCATAATGATTGTGCTTCACAATAGTGACCACTCCATGTCTATTTCTGATATTGTTATGTGTGTTTCAGAGAGTTTTCGAGCTAGAGGTGGCTGCAGTGGAGCACCAGTTCATCTTCATGATGAGGTTTGATTCAACCTCACAAAGACGAAGGAGGGGAAGGAATGTCATCAGCCCGCGTGCTATTGTTGAAGTCCCTGGCCAGCGTGGAGGGAACACTACAATGTGTGCAGCGATTACCCACCACGGTGTTATCCCTCACCATGCTACCCTTGGCCCCTACAACACTGCCCATCTGATCACATTCCTGGACACCCTACACAACACACTCATTCCACCAGATCAGATAGACGACCCAGAGCGCCTCCGTCAGTTTCCATCGGGCTGCTCTGTTTGTAACTGGTTCACTGCCCACCCACGCTTTTTAGTTTATCTCCCTCCATATTCTCCATTTTTTTCTGCCTGGAGATGGAAAGTGTATGTCCGAAATCCACAAACGCGTATACCCATTCTCCTAGCTATGGAAGACGCATGTGGAGATACAGCAGTTGATGCTTTTCATGGCTGGATTTATCATGCTAGGCGATATTTTCCCCGCTGCTTGGCCAGGGAAAACATTTCTTGTGATGTCGATGAGGTGCTGCGGCCAGACCAAAACAGAAGAGAGGATTCAGCATAGTTTTTCGTGTTTTTTTTACTGCAACTATACACAGTAAAATCTTCTGTTGTTTTGTATGTAGACCACTGTATGTGCAACTTTGTGTTATTTGGGATGTACACTGTGTACATTGTATTTGTGGGAAAAATAAAATATATTTGTTACCGTGTATTTGTGTGTTTTGAGTATAAAAACAATTTTCTCAAATATTTTACAACCATCATTTGGGACAACATCAGTTGTGGGTGGGCAGTGAACCATTTTATGTATGTACTGTTTGAAGTAAGTGTAACACTGAACAAAAAAAAGGCCTAAGTCATTGTGATGAATGAAGGAGTGTTTTCTACTGAGAACATCAACTGTGTTAAACTGGTTCCTATAGATGTCTATTCATATGATGGTTTGTGTGTCATTTGAAAACAAAATACCATTTTGAGAAGAAATAACATTGTTTTGAATGTAAAGTTTCATTTTGCAGGAGAATTGAGTGGTTTTGTCGTGTGTGTGTGTTTTGATTTGTGTGTAGAGTTCTGAGAATATAAGGCATGCTTTCAGAAAATGTGTGTAAACAATTGAGGAAAAACTGTAATTAAGTCAACTGCATCCTTGAAACTTTGATGGCAACTAAGAGCATTAGGTTTACTGCTTATTTTGGCCAAAATACTTTTTATTTGCAGACATTTCAAAAGTGAGGGAAATATGTCAACCCAAGCTGATGCATGATAATCACAGAAATTGTTATTTAAAGGTTTTCATGTGACAACATGTATAAATTAGGTTTGCTTAGTACACATTATATCTTGAGCTTACTTTGATTAAGGTATTTTGCCTCTAGATTCAGATGTAGGTTATTTATTTAAAGCCTTTTCACTGGTGGTTGGCATTTATAAATTCATTGTGCAAAGTTTTATACATATTCATCACATTACATAAAAAATACATTGATAATGAAAACTTTGAGTATAAATGTACATTTTAGACCTAATGTATCAAGAACAGTGTTGCACAATGTGTAGAGACTTGAGAAAGATTCCGTCAAAATATGGGAAAACTAACATTACTACGTGTAAATTATTTAACAGTGAGAAATAATATAGTGATATGTATGAAGCAAATTTACATATACTATTTTGTGCAATAAAGAAATCCCAAAAAGGACCATTTTGTCAGTTCCACACCGCACCAATCACGTGGCTTCCGTATACGCTGCTGTTGGAAGATCGTGCACACCCGGGGGGTTAATTGGGGTCAACGTCAATTTCGAAAAGTTGATCGTCAAGTCTAAAATGGCCAGTGTTCAGGTGAGCCTGTAAATCGCGCCCTCGGCCGTGCAGAGGATGGTTGCCAACTATAACCTCGATGGTGGAGCTCGCTAGCACCAGAGGTTTTATAACAAACATGAGGGCGACCTACACCAAACACAGCTTACTGCACGTCTGCGTCCTGTCCTCTTTTATCTTCCTGTTGTGTTCAACCTGCACCGGAGTTAAAGCCGGGGAGAAAATGGCCTCCCATCAGCCCACGGTGAGGCGCAGCCGCCGGAGTCATCAGAGCGCAAAGCTCAGAGGGGCGCACCACCGGCCGCTGACGGACGAGCAGAAAGCGGACCAGAACTTGCAGTTTATGTTGAGTTTATACAAGAGCGCAGCCGAACCGGACGGCAGGCCCAAACAGCACCGAAAGTTCGGCTCCAACACGGTCCGTCTGCTCAGACCGTCGGCGTCCTCGGTGCGCTACCTGCCAGCGTCAAGTGGTGAGATGTATATTTTTGTCACAGGAGCTAATTAACTCCAAGTATCTGCACCTACCAGGTTACTCATACAATTTCTGGGGACAAGGAGCTTGATGAGTGAAGATTGGGATGTCGTATTATTTGGGCACCATTCGGCCAGCCCAGAGAAAAAGCTGGTCCAAAATGACCCAAGATATAATACACATTTAAGTTCATGAATGGCATCTTTAGAGGAGTTTCTCCATGCTTCTGTTGCCAAGTGTTGTCTTTTTCAATATTATTTCAAAAAAATACTATCTATACCTGCTCTGTATGAAAAGTGCAATGAGAACGTATGATTTCCAATATAAATAATATTTAAATGCGTTCACAGTAGGCTCCCCTTCACCTCACAGGTGAGTTTACAAATTTTACAATGCTGAAGTTAAACCATGTCCAGATGAGAAAACCACTATGCTTATAAAGCCGTCAAATGTGAATTAGACCTTTTTTATTCTATTTGTGATAATCAGAAAAGGGCCAATTTATGTGGTCTACCTGTGTAAAAAAAAAAACAAATTTTCACAAATACAATAAAGGTTTCACAAATCTGCAACTATGTTTTAAAGAAACTTCAGCTTCTCTGGGACAACCCAGTCCAGATCTGACAGCTCTAAGCAACGTGCTTTTGGATCTGGACCAGAGTTTCCCTTAAAACTTTCCCCATCACTACTGAATCGGAGGCTGTGAGTCCAAAGCTAAGATCAGCATCATGCAAACGTCATATTTTTGTCAAGAGTTCCATAAAATGAGAGATCACAGTCTCATCTACACTGACGTTGGCATGAAAGTTATTTATTTTGTAATAAATAGGAGATCATTCTTATGAAGCAACATTAAGGCTGCTTTTACCATCTGCTGTTAGACACTCCCTGCCTGGTAAATGCTTTCTCTTCTTCTGTGCCTCTGTCTCTCCTCCAGACCACCACTGCAGCTTCACAGTAGAGTACAACCTCGACACACTTCCTTCAGAGCAGCTCATCAGGGCCTCGTTCATCCACCTCCGTTCTTCATCCCCTTCTTCCCCCAACACAACCTCGAGCACCACCCAGGTCCTCGAGCTGCCCCGCTGCAGGGCTCAGATCACCTCGCTGGGAACAGAGAGTCTCGTCACCATGGAGGCGCACGAGCGGTGGACAGAGACGGACATCACCGCGCACGTCCAGCAGGGAGTGGGGGGCCACCTGACCCTCACTGTCCTGTACTGGTGCACACAGCCGGGCAATGCTGAAGAGGACAGCAGCCTCTTGTGGTGGTGGACTCGTCTTCAAGGAAGAAAAGTATGGAGAGGTGAACCTGATCTCGAAGTCCCGTCTCTTCTTTTATACCTGGAGGAGGAACGGGAAGTGAAGGACTGGATGGGGGACCTGCTTGGGGCTGAAGGGGAAAACCTCATGAGGCAAATAGGGCAGTGGCATCCTTCAGCTCGCCGGCGCCGGCGCTCCAAAGACCCCACTTATTCAGAGGCCAGAGATCTCTCACTGGATGCTCTAAAAAACGCGCCAACTTCCTCTTCCTCTTTTGCCTCCTCCCCGTCTGCCTCCATCATCTCCGATATCTCCGATATCCCCAACTACAAACGCAAAACCAGCATGCCCAAGAACCGCTGCAAGCTCCACTCGTTTCGCCTCTCCTTCGAAAAGCTGGGCTGGGGTCACTACTTCATTGCTCCGCCATTGTACAACCCGCGCTTTTGCCAGGGCAACTGCCCGAGGGTGCTCCACTACGGCTACCACTCCCCTAACCACGCCATCATCCAGACAGTCATCAACGACCTGGGCATCGGGGACGTTCCTCTTCCGTCCTGCGTGCCCTTCAAGTACATGCCCATGAGCGTGCTGGTAGTGCACAAGAAAAAGTGGAGTACAGAGAGCTGGAGGACATGGTGGCCGAGTCGTGCACGTGCCGCTAAAGCCTCGGGGAGCAGACTTGAATGACTTGAAGATGCCGAGCACTGAGAAAAGAGACTATGATGGGACATTTGTTTGATCTACAGCTTGGCGGCTAACCATAACGAGCTTGAGACTGGAAGGAGGAAGTTGTGGTTACAGATCTTCACCATCCCTGTAAATGCACTTTAAGAGGCAGCTGCTGAATGCAACTCTGGCCTGTGCAGAACCACGGCTGTGCAGACAAGAGGCTGTCTATTTACTGATTTATTTGGGGTTGTTTTTGGAATAATTGTTTAAAGCACTGTGCAGATAGGTGAATGTGCTGGTTGCTATATTCATGAATGTAGTTTTCCTACCGAGATCCAAGGGAGCTGGTAAATTTGGAAGCATTTTAAGCTACTTGAGGGCAACTAACTAACTTTAAGTGGTAATTTTACAAAGCAGAACCTAACTTCCAGGGTAACTTACAAAATCTATTTAACTCCTACAGTAACTTGATAAAACTGATTGAACATCAAGAAAACTGGTCCAACTCCAGGAGTAACCACTGGTTTGTTTTGTAATATTAATCTGAGCGAATTGAAGAAAAACACATTTAGAATCCATCTTTAGTATCTAACCTGAAACTGCAGCAGTCTACGGAGTATTTTCTTGTCTGTCTGTGTATTCATTTGTTTTGTTTTTCTGTATACTTTTAAAAAAAATCTGATCTGTGTTTCACATCAGTGCTGCAATTCTGAACCAGCAAAAAAAACCTGTATTTGTGGTTAAAAAAAAAAATCTGTTTGCACTGTTCCTCTGTAAGAAATTAACACTGCTAAAAAAAAAAAACTATTTTAAAGAACGAGGGGTTGACCATGCTGGATGTAACTGTAAGGGCCTTTTGAATGAAACAAAATGAAGAAAAAGGTATTAAGAAATGTTAACATTGTTGATTGTTAATGAAATCAAATGGAGGAGTTGTAGTTGTGGGAGTAATGCAATTTTTATTACCAGTGAAAATGAATAATAAAATAAAATGCATGTTTTCTAAAAACAAAATTTATTGTCAGTGTTGTTAAAAAATGTATTCTGTTGAGTTATTTGTCGTTTCTGAGCTCAAGATTGGACTTTAAATCTCAAGATTTAAGCAAACGTGGACCCAAGAAGATCATGTGGTATGATAATGAGCTCCAGAAAGCTTAATGAGTGGACCTTGTGGTGGTTTTTTTTTGTTATTGTCAGTAGAAATATTTAAAGTAATGGTAGACATTTTTGGAAATTTACTTTCGATGTAGTTCGATGATTTGTTGTTTGATTGGGAGTCGTGCTGGACTAACCGCTGGGCAGCTGCTGGCTTAATCTTGGTGTAAACACATAAAAGTGGTTTTGCTCTTCTCTTCCATCTCGTTGACAAAATCCTGACCATAATGTCTGCAATCTTTAAAAAAAGAGAAGCAGGCTACCTTAAATCTGCTCAGATTAATTTCTATTTACATCATTTCACCAGCACCAGGAAAACACTGTCATGGTACATACATTCTTCGCAATTATACCAACATGTCAGTTCCTGCAAAGATGCCAGTATCTCTGTTTGAATGCCACCAGGAAACAATCCTGTGATTTTACTGCTACTATACTGTTCTGATTCAGTTTCCTTTGTCATTGTACAATGAAAGTGAGTGCCTTTCTTACGGCGCATTCCCAAATAACAAAGCAAACAAATAAGAAAACTATAAGAGTTTGAACTAAACTTTACTAAGGTTCTGAATATACAAATAAATTAGTTTGTATATTACTATAATCTGTTAAAAAAAACAAACTTATTATTAGCAGCCGAGATATTGCAGCTTTGCTGAATTGCAGTGGCCCTATTGTATTGTCGATACAGGAAGTGCAGTTGGGAATATATGTATATACAAGGTAGAGAGGAAATGGAAAAACATCTGTGCAGTGCTTTATGAATGTAAATGCAAGCATTATATAGTGCTATAATGAAGAATATAGTTTATTTGCACAGAACAAAACAAATACAAAAAAAACTTAATGCACATGTCAGTTGCTACTAACAGATAAAACACAAGGAGAAAGAAGGCTACAAAATACACAATTAGTTTAGCTCATCAAATAAGCTGAATTAAATGTTTGTCAGGACGAGATTGTTCATGTAACTATAAATATAACTTATTAAGAATAATCTAAAATAACTGAATTATTAACACTGTTTCTGTTATGGAATCAGCCATTTTGTAAGAGATTCCTGCACAAATTGTAAAATAGCAGCTTTCATTTTGGAGTGAATTTGTACAGAAATGTTCAGGAAAGTGCATTTTGCATTGAATCCAACAGATGGCGCTCTTGTCTTGTCTCATAATGTTTTCACAAGCAGACACCAACCCTAAATCCAGCTGAGGAACCTGGTTTGTTTTCACATTTGTTTTATTGTTTTCATACAAGTAAAAAAAAAAAAAAGCAATTATTTTACTTTAAGATTAATCAATCCATAATACCACATCAGACCAACACTTCACCTGCTGCCTGACTCTGCTGGACTGGCTGATATGGTTGCTCAGAAATTTATAGCACACCTGTCACCCAAGAGTTCATATGAGTATCAATTTGAATAAATTATTCCATGTACTTCATGTGTGCCCTAAAACTACAAATGATTCCCACAAATGTTTGTGGTCACTTAGTATATGTAAATTGTGAATTGTCATTCAGCAGCTTTAGTGTCATTGTGTAATAAAATGCACTTTGCTCTATATCAGACGGGCACTGTAAGTGGGACACAGAGTGGAAGAGATGGTTTTACAGTTTGCCGACAGAGATACATACACACCTCAACATGGATGTGCATAAACACACAGTCATGCCGATAGACACACAAACAGGCAGTCATGAGTCATGATAACCTGTGGCCTATTTGGCTCTGACACATAAATGCACATACATTACTGTGCAAAGGTTTTGAGCAGGTGTGGAAGAAATGCTGTAAAATTAAGAATGCTGTTAACATAAAGCACAAAGAAACAGGCAATATATGCGCAGTAGTCGACCAAAGAAACTTACTGCAGCAGATGAGAGACACATCATGCTTACTTCCCTTCCAGCAGTGTCATTAGCACAGAGCTGCAGAAAACAGTGGTACTCCCCTCTACTGTCCGGAGAAGTCTTGTCAGAAGTGGCCGTCATGGGAGATTTGCGGCTAAAAGCCATACCTCCGACATGTAAAAAAGGCCACACGACTCAACTATGCATGGAAACAGGAATTGGGGTGCAGAAAAATGGCAGCTGGTGCTCTGGACTGATGAGTCAAAATATTAAATATTTGGCTGCAGCAGAAGGCAGATTGTTTGCCGAAGGGCTGGAGAAAGATGCAAGACTGAGTGTCTGCGCAAATGTACCTAGAAGAGTTGATGCTGTTTTTAAGGCAAAGGGTGGTTGTGCCAAACACAGATTTGATTTAGATTTTTCTTCTGTGCACTCACTTTGTATTTTGTTATTTGAAATATGATCTATTAACAGCATTCTTTATCCTATATTTGGCCACTTAAGGTGAAGTTTTTAATTTTGGCAGCTGATGCTGATGTGAAGTGTTTCTTTCTCTACTGTGCTTTACTTTTTGCCTGGTTCATTCTCCGGTACAAACTGCAGTGAACTATGATGTTGCTTTCTGACCAGATTTCAGGAAAGAGCACATCCTAATAACTGTACATCAGAAACCACCTACAAGTGCTGGTCATATAATTAGAACAAAAAGTTGATTTATTTCAGTAATTCCATTCAAAAAGTGAAACTTGTATAATGTATACATTCTTTCCACACAGACTGATATATTTCAAGTGTTAATTTTGATGATTATTACTGCCATCTAATGAAACACCAAAATCAGTATCTCAGAAAATTTGAACATTCTGAAAAGGTTCAATATTGAAGACACCTGGTGCCACACTCTAATCAGCTGATTAACTCAAAACACCTGCAAAGGCCTTTAAATGGTCTCTCAGTCTAGTTCTGTAGGCTACACAATCAATGGGAAGACTGCTGACTTGACAGCTGTCTAAAAGACGACCATTGGCACCTTGCACAAGGAGGGCAAGACACAAAAGGTCATTGCTAAAGAGGCTGGCTGTTCACAGAGCTCTGTGTCCAAGCACATTGATAGAGAGGCGACGGGAAGGAAAAGATGTGGTAGAAAAAAGTGTACAAGCAATAGGAATAACCCTGGAGAGGATTGTGAAACAAAAAAACATGGTATCCCTGTTCTAATTGGCCAGCAAACTCGCCTGACCTTAACCCTATAGAAAATCTATGGGGTATTGTGAGGAGGAAGATGCGATACGCCAGACCCAACAATGCGGAAGAGCTGAAGGCCACTATCAGAGCAACCTGGGCTCTCATAACACCTGAGCAGTGTCACAGACTGATTGACTCCATGCCACGCCGCATTACTGCAGTAATTCAGGCAAAAGGAGCCCCAACTAAGTATTGAGTGCTGTACATGCTCATACTTTTCATGTTCATACTTTTGGCCAACACTTTCTTTGTATTGGTCTTAAGTAATATTCAAATTTTCTGAGATACTGAATTTGGGATTTCCATTAGATGTCAGTTTTAATCATCACAATTAAATGAAATAAACATTTGAAATATATCAGTCTGTGTGTAATGAATGAATATAATATCCAAGTTTCACTGTTTGAATGGAATTACTGAGATAAATCAACTTTTCGATGATATATATATATATATGACCAGCACCTGTATATGTTGCACCACAAAGTAGTAGAACAACAATAATTCAACAGGAAGCAACTGAGATTTTTGCTTCCCTGAGACACAATGACCTTGGTTATATCTTCATAAGTTTGTTGATAAATGCCCCTGTGACTCATGTGAGCACATTTTTGGCTTTGAAAACTCCCTTTAAGAAAGTCAACACACCTGAGATAGATCACTTAATGTAAATTTATGTAAAACTGTGTTATCACTGAAGTATTCATTGTTGTGATTTTGGGCATTAATATGGTTCTGATAACTGCAGATGCCTAATTTTGGGAATCTGTCTGATAGCACAGAAAGTACGGGCAGTCCACTCCCTATTTTCTACCAGAATGTACAGAGATGAAATGATGTTTTCTTAAAAAAAAAAATTTAAATTGCAACTTGTTTAAGAGCTTTAAAATAATCAAATGAAAACATGGTACATGTGGGTTAACATCTGGTCACATAAAACCTCACTGGCATAGCAGTAAAAGTTTGTTTTATGGGGAGATTTGTAAGAAATAAATGTTTAATTCAGGCACAGTCATGTATATTATTCTAATTTTGCCCGAGGAGCTTCTGTACTGATCTGTTACCGTAACTTTTGTTTATAGAGTGACTGGAAATCGTCAGTTTTACACAACCTCCCAGTCTATTTCCTCAAGGGATTTTCGTGTCTGTGCATGTGTGAGTGTTTTGTCCTTCTCATCCTAATGTCCTCTGACAGATGTTGTAAATTTCTGAAATCACACACACACAGAAGCACATTTTAGCACGACTGATTCCCATAAACGTCACACAGGGATGTGTCACACAGGGAAGAAGTGACCTGTTACAAATCCCACTTGACAGAGAGCCATAAAGTTCAATCATTACAGAAAAATTACTGGACCTTGTGTGGATAAGGTGTCCGTGTGTGTGTGTGTGTGTGTGTGTGTGTGTGTGTGTGTGTGTGTGTGAGAAATGAGTCAGTCAGACAGTCACACGGACACAAATGTTTGCCTTTTATTGTGTGTCCGTGTTTATAAACTGTGCACTATACTATGTTGAGAAACATGCAGCCTCTAGCAGTTTATTAAAAAATCATATAAGCAGAAAAGCAGCGAATCCTCTCATTTGATAAGCTGGAACCTGTGAATGTTTGTCTGAATTTCTGTATTATATCTTAAAACTGTTGATAAATTTTGAGCTAATCAGCTACTCATTTCAGCGCTACATAGCCTACCTGTTTTTTGGATGCTAACGTACTTAAAACATCCAGCATGTGACATTTAGAATGCAGAGATTATAGTAAA